AGTACACTCTTTCATAAGTTAAACCAACTTAACTCTAACTAAAACTATATCAACTAACTTAACTCTTAATGATTCCTTAACCCTTAAAGCTATAAAACAATATTAATAACAATATTTCAACAATTAATCACATATAACATATAATTAATTAAATAAGATAAAGTCACATAGTCTTACAATAATTTATTTTTAAAATATTGAAATTAATTCATAAATAAATACGATAAATAAAAAATAATAAATTAGAGAACAAGTTAAGAAAATCTCTAAAAATCCTCTCGTTGAAAAATATCATCTAAAAGCACTACTGCATAAGATAGTTGTTTACAAGGACTGAGATTTAGAAGCCAAATTAAAAATACATTATAGATAAATGGATCAAATTAAGGATATTTCACACGTATAAGGACTAAATTAAAAATGTGTTAAGAGTTTAATAGTGATTCAAATCAATAATATTTATAGGTATAAGAGACTCATTTAATATTGTTTTATATGTAGAGATCAAATTGAAAATTTGCAACATGTATGAGGACTAAATTGAATGTGTAACCTAAATAATAATAAATTTTAAAAAAAATATACGAAGACTTTAATGATTGAAATTTTCACTTAAGGTAATCCAATTAAAAATTTCACGTGGTAGAGAATTCTTTCACGACGAATTTATACCTAATTATCATTCCTTTTTCTTTCTTTCTTTTTTCTAGTAATAAGGAGTACATATAACTCTCATGGCTAAGATTTTTGTACCTATCAAAATGATTTATAAATAAATATAATAACAAATTGGACAACCGCATCAACCATCAAGTAACCTTTAGATGTCCATCTGAGAAAAGAAAAAGAAAGAAAGATTCGATTAATCATATAACTTTATGCATGCTTTTAGAATCACTTACACATATAGTTTGTTTCTTTTAACAACAATCTTTAATATATGAAATCCAATGTGTGGAAGGTTGATCTAGAAAGCTTTTAACATCAATCATGAATGTGATGGTTAGTCTGAGTTTTTTTTTTTTATTTTTCAATTCATTTCTTGTTCTTAATAAGGCAGCCTAGGCTTTATATGTAAAAACAAATTAAGACAAATGCACTTGACTGGTTGTATGTTCATCCATAGGGAATGGAGAAGATAGACTAGTACAAAGCTTGAACTTATTTATCTTTAATTAGGACGAGTGGTTGAAAAAATAGGAGCACATAAAAACAATTTTTTTTAATATGATTTGTTTTTAATCTTTTAAATTGAGTTTTTATCAATGGATTAATTTTCCTGTGTGCGCAATCGTTTCCAATTCCAGTTAGGTTGTCCTGAAAGGGGTTGTCGATTGAGGAAAATGAAATGAGGATAAAAGAACCCATGAATATAATTGACATAGAAACAAAACGAAATATGAACTTTATACCAAGTAATCTTCATTTTTTACCCCCCACTAAATTAAATTGTACGGAATAAAAGCAATTAAAAAAGTAAATAATGTTTTAATTCCTGTAACATGCAGACATTTCGGTTTTGGTCTTTACAACAACAAACTTCGGTTTTATTTTCTGAAGAAAAAAAAATCGAATGATATAACAATTGAGTCGAATAATTTTGTATGCTACGAGTTATGAAGGAGAGTAAGAAAAAAGACTTTGATATATTACCAATTAATCATGTCTTATATATAACTTACAAATATTTAATTATTTCATTCCACTTTTAATTAGAAATTAAACATTTATATAATAATGCTAGAATTTTATTTCATTGCATATTTTTACTTATAAATTAGGATAAATTATAATGACACTCTTTAAAACATCATTAAATTATGTGCACACCTCTTGTTATTTTTATCATTATACTAACTTTTTTAATTATCTAACAAATATTAAGCTAACAATCCTTAGATATTACACAAACTTCTCTATATTATTTGAAAGAAATTACTGCATTTCCCCCAATAAGATTGTTTTAAAAAAACTTTAAAAAAAAACCTATATACATACAATAGACATTACACATTGAAAATGATATATTTCTTACCTGGTAAATTATAATTTTCTCTAAAAAAATTATAACGTAACTTTTATATTTAAACTTTTTTTTTTAATCTTTCCCTTTCTAATGTTACTCCATCTTGTATAAAAATATTATTAAATAATACCAAAGTAATAAATTCAAAAACATAATTTCAAAACAAAATCTTAAGATATTTAAAACCATTTTGATTGAAAAGAAACTATCAAACTATAAGCTAGTTAATAAAGCAAAACTCATTTTTATTTTATTTTATAATAAATTCAATTCAATCATCTAATGAAACTTGCATAACTAATACTCGGTTCAATTGATGTTGCAATTAGTTATTAAGTCTCAAGGTTTCGAATTTAAGTCTTGAACTTAATATAAAAAAATCAATGCTTAAAGAGATAACCTTAATGCAATCAAAGTCTCATGAGAGATTAGTTTCCAACAAAGTTGAAGGATAATCTTGTCAATACCATAGTGCAAAAAAAAAAAGTATGAAGCCTGCATATCACTTTCTGTTTTTGCAAACGGTCAAAACTGGAATATCATTCTCATTTTTTATAAGGTCAAAACTTCAAATGTTTTACCTTAAGAAAATTGATAGAAAAAAGAGAATGAAATTGAACTACACTAAATGTTCCTTATACTTCTATGGATAAAAATAAATTACAAAATCTTCCCTTCAGTCGGAATTAGAATCTGGGTCTCCATCCACAATATCAGGAAAACTATCTCCATCGTCCAGTGAATTGTCCTGGCCAAATTTTAAAGCAAATTCCTCCAAAATACTAGAGCCTGAGGTTCTTTGCCCAAAACTATTACTCTGAAAAGCTAATCCAAAGTCTTTATTAACCGAGCTTCCTTGTCCTGATTCCATGTGACTGGCTTCATTATGAGGAAGAGTGCTTTCTGAAACAATCTTCTCGTTGTTATCATCAGCTACATCACTGTGAGTTTTGGCCTCGGGGATGTTTGTGGTGCAAGAGACAGATTCCTGAAATTGTACCACAGATTCTCCCGGTTGATCTGACTTCAAATTGATTTCATCCTCAACAGTTTTCATTTCAACATCTGCACAAGTGGCAGTCTCAGACACCATCTCAGCTCTCTCCAGTAAATTGGAGTCAAGGACTTCAGGATCATTAGCTATGCAATCTTCAGAAGGCTCTGGGGTGTGTTTTGTATTTTTAGCCAATGACACATCAGCTTCATTGCCATTTTCAAACCATCTAGCACACAGATCATCATCATAGTCAGGAGGAGCTTGTGGAAAACCATATGGAGTATGGTCATTCCGGCCAAAATATTCATGTTGGAGATTACTATTAGCTTCACCAAAAGAATGGTTATTTGCATAGGCATAATCAACTAAAGGAAGTGCCCTAGGATGTATAAGCACTTCCAAGGTTAACAGAGCATGGAGACAGAACTCAGCTAGTTTTGTTCCAGTTTGTTGCTTCCCTGCAAATAAGGATTCCATGTTGTTCAAGCAAACAGGAATATAAAAATGAAATTTCATGAAATCGTAGGTAAAAGGTTTACATGGTTATCACACAGTCATATCAGGAACTTAAAATGCTATTTTATATTTGATCATTCTATATTCAATAATAAAATTAAAAATAAAAGGGCAGTGGATATTTATGTTGACAGGAATTTAAAATCTCGTATTTAGACAAATAAAGCCCAATATTTTACAACCTGATGAAATACCATACTGATACCAAAATAAATAACAAAAGAAATTCAAATAGATATATAGAGAAGTACCTCTACGGAAAAGTTCAAGGCCCTGGGCTAAATATGGAGGTCGTACCCTAGCAAATGAAAGAAAAGATACCAACAGAGCACGCAATGCAGCAAGCTGCAAGTCTGTGGCAGTTGCAGCAGGTTCCTTTTGTTGAAACATACTTGTTTCTTCACTAACTGGTCCTTCCTTAAAAGAATCCATTGCTACGACTATCAAAAGGCTATCAACTTTTGATCTCCAGGGTTCGGATTTTAAAGCACCAGCCTGTGAAAAATTATAAAAATTTCATGCAGTTCACTTAAAATTGATAAGACAATTGAGATATAGAGGGTCGCTTTGGTGTCCCCTTAAACTTGGGAAGACAATTTCATCAATGGATTTTAGGAGAAATTTGCATTCCAAAATGTTTCAGGTCAACATTAAGGGAGATACATAACTTAATACGCAGGTGCAGTATTTTACACCATTTAAATTAGAACATCTTTTCCTCATTTTCGATTTTTGGTATGTCATTTTATTTAACATATGTAAACTAGGTAAAAGGGGCCTTAGAATTACATAACAGTTGCATATTGTGAATCATGCCAGATCACTTATACAAGTTTAACAATATTATATACCTGAAATTACTTGTTGAGGGATGAAGTTAAATTTCTAGCTTCTCTGTCGTATTCTGCTTATGGCTGTTTCGAGGGAGTAGCTATCTTGGATATGCAGTTTATACAACAGGCTCACAGTACTTATAGCAGTTTTTCTGATCTTATTTGTATAGTTTCTTGTTTGGAAGATATAATATCCTTAGTTCTGCTATTTGTCTCCAACAAAATACCTTTTTCTTTTTTCATTAAAAAAAATTAACTGTTTTAACAAATAAAAGTCTATCATGTTATAGAAACAACATTCTAAAACCATGGACACAGATAGCAGTGTCCCAACATATCCTCCCACAGACATAATAAAATTCCTTTTTCTTTTTTGATTAAAAGAAATTGACTGTTTGTACAGATAAAAGTGTATCATACTATCATGTTATAGAAACAACATTCCAAAACCATGCCACAAAGATAACAGTGTCCCAACATATCCTCCCACAGAGAGAATACGATGAGTTGATGTCATTATGAATTTATTAAAGGTTGACTCACATGACAATTTGCATAAGAGCATAGGAAAGCATTTACAATTACCAAAATTGAGTTCTGTGAGAATATTAGGATAACCATTGTGTTAGGATTCTAATTCTGTTTGAAGCAACTCTGCCGGGCTTATACTAGTTACATTACACTTGTATTTTACCTAAAATATCTGTGCAAGTGTTACAGGCCACATTTACTTAATTCTTTATGCTGTTTGTATCACAATTACTCAGTCACTACTTAATTCTTTATCCCATTCCATCCCCCTACAATTACAACAAAAACTATGAACAAGAATAGCCATTGAAGGTAGGGAAAAATCATACAACCAAAC